TACGTCCTTTCGGAAGAACCATTTTGGTTTGCAATTCGGTTTTGAGAAGTTCGCTTCGAAGACGACTTTCTTGTCTTTGCCTTCCTTGGCATATTGATCCACCAATGGCTTCAGGAAACTTTCCGGTTTCTGCGAATATAAAAACCCCGATTAACCAACAAATTCTTCCGATAACAAATTTCCATCAGATCTAAGAACACCGCCAAGAACGACAACGTTGCTGGGCATACAAGGAAGATGAAGAGTCAAAATGTTCAAAAAAAGAAGCCGCCACAACCAATCGATCTTTTTGAGTCTGTGAAAAAAAAAAAAAATCTATACAAAACTGTATATCAAAAAAATATGAGAAAAATCTCGCCTCTACGAGGACGAAAGCCGCTGTGTAGCTGGAAAATTCTAGAAAAAAAAACCTCACAAATACAAATACAAAAACAAAATCTTGGTCCTCGCAAAAAGTTTCGATGCGAGGTCGAAATTCAAGAGTAAAAAATTGCAACGGATGAACGCATTTATGTGTATGAGAAAGAAGAATAAAGCTGACGAAACAGACCGTGTGTAAATTTAATAGATTTGAGGGGGAAAATGAGTGTAGAAGAAATAGATTTAGAAATAGAAAGTAAAAAAGAGATATACAAGGTGTCCAAAATATTCAAAAAGATACAGAAAGAAAAAGAGAGAGAGAGAGAGAGAAAGAGAGAGAGAGAGAGAGAGAGACGAATCGTCTAGTCGTTGAAGAAACCATAAATAAAGAGAAAAAGTGTATCGCATTCTCATGAGAAAGAAGACACGAGAGACAGCGAAAAAGAAGAGAGATAGGGAGGAATAAAGAGAGAAAGACATCGATATCACGCTGGTAGACTGTGAAACTTTGTGTTTCAAGTTGTCGAGGACTACGATCCAACCTCCGTCTTGGTGAAATGGTGCAGGATCGGCCAGTCGGGAATTAATTCGGCGAGAGAGGGTCTACGAGATCCACTATTCTATAAAAACAATAAAAATCGTCTACGATCACAGTCTGATTCATTACGCTACATTATAGGGGTATCTTCTTCGTTGAGGCTGATGGCAGGCAAAGTAAAGCGAAAGAGAAACACAAGATACTCGCTGTGATTGCTATAAGTAAGTACGTATATCTTTTCGTTCTATAAAATAACGTCGTAAAAAATGATAAATGGAAATATTAGTCATATTAATTTAAGTGGTTTGATCTACTAAGGACCAACATTTCGTTCGTGATTTTTTTTTTTTTTTTCAATTAATTCATACGAAAAGTTTCCAAAGTTTGGCATGTGCTTTGACTTTTGGATGGAATGAACTTGCATATATTTTGCTGAGAAATGACATTATGATTATAATTAATTATAACTATAATGTTTATAGATATGATTGAATACAATTTTAATACTATAAAAGAATGAAATATTTAGTTATTCAACGAATAATTATATTAATAATTTTTTTTTTTAAATTCTAACATCCTTTAAATTAAAAACCTTCGATTAGAAATATATGTTATTGAATTATTATTGACACACGATCACGAAGGAAACATATTTATTTTTGTCATTACAAATCTCCACTTTTTTCGTCCAGATCTTACAATTTTATGAAATTTGTAAGAAATTAAAATATTTATAAGATGATAATAAAGTATAAAAAAATAAATCATATTATTAATATAACGCATAATTTAGCTTATTTACTATTTTAATAAAGAAATGTAATATACCTAAATATAAATTACTTTAAATAAACAAATAAATATTTAAATGTAAATATAATACCACACAGTATAAATATAAATTACTTTGTGTATCTCGATAACGTTATCACAGTTTCTCTAAAACTTTTAATTAATTGCAAGATCTAGATAAAAGAAACAGCATCGATGAGAGAGAAAGATATTAAATATTTTTGAAGTAATTCTCTGCATGGTCCTTAATTGGTCAACAGAGAATCGTTGAAGCCGAGCTTCTCTAGAAAAAAGAAGCGCAGGCCAAAGCAGGTAAATCCCTCAAATAGATCACGAGAATTTCATTGCTTCATTTCATTCACAGCAATCCGAAGCAAGGAAACGCGACAGAAAATCTCGTGATCGTGAAACGATCGTGGGACAATTTACAAGTTCGTAAATTCGTATTCTCGTAAAAGTACTCTTTTACGGATGCTTGTACTAGTTGAAGCTTTGCAGGGTGGAAACGTTCAGGCGATTGTTCTGCCTTTCGAAGCTTTTAATCCTTTGGGATTTACGTGTGGTAATATGCAATGCCAAATTACAATGACAGACAGAAGAAAGTTCAAGAAGGCAAATAATGGCACGAGATAGTCCATAATTTTATATAGTGAAATTATCATTAGTAATACATAGCGATGAATGAGTATAATTAGAGTGTGAATTTTTTTATGCATTTATGAGTGATTCAAAAATACAGAGAATACACACAGTATACATATAAATATAGTATATAAAATATCCAAAGCAGAGAGCTTATATTATTATAGTATTTAGTGAAAGAAAGGAATTTCTACTTAGACTCCATTTTCTTTTTTTCTTTTTCTTTTTCGCTAGGCTCATAAAATTTTTAAAAATCCATCTAATCTCAACAGAGACAGACAAATCGTCTATTAATCTCAGAAATAGAATGTTAATGAAAAATGTTGTAAAGTGGTAAAAGAATTAGTACAAGAGGCATCGCGAGCCCAATGGATTAAAATAGAATCGAGCGCCAGGAATGAAGAAAAATTTGCTAAACAGTTTTCGCGAACCTTCTCTTTGACCACTGTTGCCAATATCGGCCAGTCGACGATTAGCTCCTGCAAACTTGGCCTGCGCTGAATGTCGAAGACGTCCTGCATGCCCGGTACACACACACGTTCACGTTAATCTCACTCTTAATCCTCGATATTAAATAACGGAGTACCCTGACTGATTACATTAATCAAACTTTCCCTCGAATCAAATTATTTAGACAATAGACCCGCCGTAAATAAATTTTTATAAAAATTTGTTTTACCAATTTTACAAATTTTATCAATTTATAAATTTATTCATCATTTCCATTGATTTCATAATTCGTCGAATTTTATATCAAATTATTATTATAGACGAATGTAAAATACCTTTGAACTCGCATCAGGGTTTTCCGCGTTGAAACACTTAAAAAGACATTTAATATATTTAGAGATAATGCTTGCTGCTAGGTTAGACATCGTTATTAACAATCTTCAATGCAGGTCGCGTTAATCATATCTAAGAATGCAATTTAACTTGAATCAATAATTTCTACTCATGCATTTGTGAGTAAACTTTTATTTTTATCTTTTAATCGACAACGACACTGAATGAAATTAATTTTTGGTTAATCGACAATTGGTTAATAAAGATGAATTATTGCGTGAATGTCTACGATACGATCAAATATGTAATACATCGAAGATACGAGATTCAAGCGCAGCATTAGCTCTAAACTAACGTGTGTACGTGTGAGTATCATAAAAGTGCGTGTGCTCTTGTGAATTGGAACGCAAGGGTTCTGTCGTCTAAATATCGTTACCAGTCGAGTGTGTTGCTTTTTTCTAAAAGTATAGAGCTGTAAAATCGACACAGTAATAATGTAATGTGATTGTAATTAGCACGGGGTTTCTGTTCCCACAATTTCTTTTGTTAATCCCTTGAATGCTCATTGAAACCACAGAAATCTAAATATTCAAATACAATCTTTACGATTTAGGAAATTAATGATCCTATTAAATATTTAAATATAAAGATAAATTTGTAACATGACTAATCGTATTCTTGTCTAGTGATAATATATAAATATAACAATCTATCAATAATGTTTGCACTGTAGAAATATAATAATATAATGATATAAGATATGAATTATATTATTACATTATATACGAAATTATTTTTCTTTCACATGTTTAAGACTACCTGTACAAGATACGAACTGAGCCCTCAAAGGATTAACCTAACTCCATTTCATCTTCAATTCTGTCAAAATATCTATAAATATTTTGAACATATCGTGGACGATTCTCAACGATTCTTAAAATTGTAGAAAACAGAACGACATATTAATGCGTCCAAGATGCGTCTCGTCAATGTCAGGAAGTTATCTACGTATGGGATGATGCCTGAAAACCTTGAGCCAGCTCCAGTTAGTTTCACCCTTCTTGTCTAGAGAAATTCGAAGGACCTCCTCACCCTCCGTCAAGATCACTATTTCCTCCCCGTCTTGATACCAGCTTCTTCCGTGTGTCACCAAGTCGCGCAGCGACTACGAAGACAAACGTGAAAGAAGAGACACAGGAAGACAAACTTGCTATCATCGATGGTTCTCGAACGTACGATCGATTGCATCTCGTTTATGGAAATGTTCAGTTGTCGGTCTTTCGATTACGTATAGTCTTTTTCATCTACTTACCAAATAAACCGAGATCATTGTCGACTTGTGTTATCATGATATTATTCTCTAGTCGATATCGTATCTCACCTAACGCTTGAAATTCATTTATAATTAGTCTGCGAACTTTTATCCATTCTTATATTTTTATGAATGTAACTAAGGTTTAAATCAAACTTAAATAGAAATTTGTTTTATACTAAATTTAAATACTAAATACCTTGAATGGATATTTGTTTGAATAATAAATACTCTGCTTCGAGTATTTTATGTATTTTTGGAACTTCAAAATTTCTTGTAAGATGCATAAAAATTCGCTGCTTATTTATAATTAAACAGAAAGCAATTTTTTTTTTACATAGAACGATAATATAGCGTACCGAGCTGTTACACAATGATCACAAGTAATCGAGGAATGCAACAGATTTACAACGAATGGACATGCATACCAATAAAGACAAACATATATAAAAAAAAAAGGATCTTTGATTTGAAGTATATATTGAATCTCTTGACGAAAATTACGTTTGATTATGTGTATAAAAATGGTTACGCACCTTCTCGACTTTCTTCAAAGCTGGCATAGGTTTCTCGACTTCCTTCAAGTCTACCTTCTCTTGTTCTTGCTCTTCTCTCGCCCATTTCTGGTATTTCCTCTTTTTCAGCATAGCACGGAAATCCATACCACTGGCGTCTAATCATTAATATAGATCAGCAGATTAGAAATAAAAATAAAAATTAGAAAATTAATGATTAAGAGTAAAAAAAAAAAAAAAAACAATTGGAGGTAAAGATTAGAAGTCGAGGATTGAAAATTGAAAATTAAGAAGACCAAAGACTAAAGAGATCGAAGATAGAAGATTAGAAATTTAAGAACAAAGATTGAGATTAGAAATCGAATACACTAAGGACCAAAGGTACAAAAATTATAAATCAAGATTTAAGAAATCAAGATAAACAAAAAAACTAAAAATAATAAATTCCGCGGAAAGCGAGGGGAAAGAGTACCGGAAACGTAGAGCTGCATCTCGGCAGAGTCCTCGCCATGGATGTTGCTCACGACGATCTTGTATGTGCCCTCGTCGTTGGGCTTCGTCTTCCTCATGCAGAGGGTGATCGTATTGGTCTCTGTATCCGTAAGGAACTTGAATCGGCCACCTTCGATGATCTCGGTGATTCCCTTATAGAATTTGAAGGTTGGCGCAGGCGTACCTTCCACCCCAACCGTGAGGTACGCCGTCGAGTCTGAAGAAAATATTCATTTACATTCAACTAATCGAATTAATTCAACAAGAAGAAGTTATTACTGCTTGTAGCTTTTTTGGTACGTATGTATTTATGGTATTTAGAATATTATTTAGAATATTATTTGCCAGCATTACAGAAACTCAAAAACATGAAGTTCCCTTAAAATTTCAAAGAAACAGAGGAATGAACAACGATAATGTACCTTCGACGGCGGAATATGATTCCTGAACATCGACAATTTGAGGTGGTCCCGCTGGTCCGACATCTCGAAGAGGTGTGCTCGGCTGATTGATCTTATTCTCAAGGTCCGCCACGCTGGGTCTTCTGATGTCCGTACTCGGACGACGACGCTGCATCAACGAATCATTGATGAATCATAAACCATTTACGCTATTTCCTTTGCTCTTTTTTTTCCTCTCTTTTTCTTTTAACAAGCATTAGAAGCTTTCGGAAAAAGCAAGCAAGCTGAAACGACCAAGTACATGACTTCCGTCATCTTACCTGTGATTCATCGATTTATCTAATAGATAATTGCAACAGCTCGCAAAACTGTCGGAACACTTCTATTTAAATATATATTATCTCTTACATTTTTAAATATCTATTACATCAAACTTTTCACGAACACTGAAATGACATTAGTCTATCGTACTTATTGGAAATAGTTTGAAGAAAATCTGAATATGATATTTAATACGTAATCAATAAATACAATATGCAGTATAAAACGTACTCAATGTTTAAGATGATTAGTCAAACTGTGTATTAATTCTTAAACTGAATACATGTACGTATGTTTGCAATAAATATCTTTTATTTTATCAATATGTAATTATGAAATTTTTAAGTATTTCGCAAATTGTTCATACAGTTTCGTGAGTCAGACGAAAGTCACGACTGGCTAGAAGCTCGGTGCTCTCATGCTGTGTGCGTGGTGCTAATTATTCATCATGCCTTTTAGTTACGCTATTAATCTACATAATTAGTACAAAGCGTTAAATCGTTAATCATTATTTACAATGTTAATGCAAGTAAATGAGGTCAGACAACACGAGGTCTTCATTTATGATTAGAATGCGGGTGTTTATGCAAATTTTTAACTCTCTGTAAATTCAATAAAAAGAAGAATCTAAATTTGAGTGATTTGTTTCATCAAACAGCAGTATAATATTATTATTATATATAATAATTATGTATTGATAAACCTTTATATATTACAATAAATTTAATAATTATTGTAATAAATATTATATATAACAATACACCTATACTAATTTTTGATATTTCGATATCGATATCAATAATTATCGATATTTCAAATTTCTATTTTAAATTTTCACCATTCTGAACTCATAGATGCACAAACATTCGCAATCTAATTATAAAAAGTTTCCATTAATGAGACAATATTTCTAACCACGTTCAGCTGTTCTTAAGGGCTTCACATACTCGTTAGCCAAAGTAAATTCGAGGATCCTCGAAGAGGTATTTACTCACGACTCACAATTTGAACAAATTAATTCAAAACATTTTTTTATTACGAATACCTCGAGAAGAATCTTCGATTATACGCAAGGGAAGGAAAGATATTTACACATATATACACAATGTTTATATGCTTTTCCATTCTGGTTTCGCAGTTCGTTATTATACAATGCTAGCTAAATAAAAAAAAAAAAAAATTACTACGATATATGAAAAAGCGTGAGAATGATACGAGAAAAAGAAACCAGAATAGTTCGTGATCAGAATGTAGAAACAAGGGGTACACGAAGGATACACATAAATGAAAGGTTTCCGAGTTACGTGGACAAGGATGTTCACTTCGTCGATGCCGTTGACAATTCGGCGAACAATTTTCACCAGTTGATCAGTCACAAGGTTAAACCTAGCGCTACGAGATTAAGACACAATACGAAATTTCGTGTCGTAATACGTGAGAAGAGCTTCGCTGCGAAACAATAAGTAAGTACGCATGAAAATACGGGAGCTATTGTTCGTTACATCGATCGACAATATTATTATTTTTTTACATATACATAAATGAATAAATCAAGAGTAAAAATTGAAATATTATTGATGAAACTATTAATTAGAATGTTTCGTTCTATAAATAAATTTCTATTTTAGAAAATTAAACATAACACAGAAATTGAACTATCGATCGATGCAGAACTAGAACGTGTGACGATGATGCGTGCAAATAAAAAATATGCTGTTTCGCTGGGATTACATATTTATATATATATATATATATATATATA